AATGTAATTAGAATAATAAAAAAATTAGCATAAATTATTAGAGGCTTAGATTTATACTTTTAACTTTTATTTGTGTTTGCGCTTCTAAAAGACTGTAGTATAACTTGTCATTCTCCAAAAAAAACAAAGACTAAAAGACAATTGGCTAGGCGACACCACATAAGAGCCGAAACCGTGTCTTTACCGTTTATAGTATATAGTTTAGAGTTAGAATTCAGACAAGTCGAAATACGCCTCAGTAGTCTTATCTAAGTCAGAAATGTCTAGCATGCGACAAGCCGAAGTCAACCGACTTGTCAGCACCCGTAACAATATCTAGAAATAGCTTCGAATGAAAGATGCATACATCCAAAGTTAATTACGATCTACAAAAAGTATCTTAAAAAAAAAACAAAGATGAAAGATAATGATATAATAATAAAAATAAGGATCCAAAAAATAAAGAACTTTACACGAAAAATCAATCATCCATAAAATGGATAATCAATGATCAACTATTGATCATTATTATTATTGGTTAATCAGCATGTATGTTACACATTACTTTTTGTATATGCGTTAATATTTTAACATAAGTTAATTGTTCAGTCAATTTTGTCACGAGTTTTATAATTAGAATATAGTAAAAACCTAGTTTCAGTTTTGTCAATGACTAAATAGTTTAGTATTGTTGGCAACACTACCGTACAGCGCTCTATATAGTACCCCCCATAAAAAGTACCCCCTTCGAATAATACTCGGGTACTTTATATGATCAATAGAAAACAATTTAGTGATCAAATACATATACGTATATACATACAGTGCCTTGCCATAAATATCTGACCATATAATACAAAGCATTATTAAATAAATTAATCATGATTATTTATCAAGGTTAATTTTAAGATAAGCAAAAAAAATTGTATCGCAAAAATTGTATCGCAAAAAAAATATATATTGCATCATAAAAAAAAAAGTACATTGCATAGCAAAAATTTATATTTAGTACTGTAAAAAATTAATAAGATGTAGGATTTCCATTTGCATCTCGCAATTTAATTACTCTATGAATCATACTTTCCACCAATTTCATATATTTTTCTCTTGGTATTTCATTCCATGCTTCTTGTAAATAATGTAAGAATTGTTCTGTATTTGTTGGCAATGGTTTTTTTTTACATACTTGACATTCTAACTCATTCCAAAGGTGTTCGATAGGATTCATGTCAGGACTTTGTGTGGGCCATTTCATAAATGTAATTTTTGTTTCCTCTTTCCATTTTTTAACTAATTTTGCCATATGAATTGGCGCATTATCATCTTGAAAAATATAACAATTTTCTTGTTTTTTTATAAATGAAAGAAGATTTTTTTTCAAGAGATTTTTATAACCAATAGCATTAAGTCAACTCTGAATTTCAACCAATGGTCCTAAGCCACTACATCCAGAAAAACATGCCCAAAACATAATTCCTATACGACCTGATTTTACTGAAGGAAGTAAGCAATCAACATTATATTTTTCATCAGGTTTTTGCCATATCCATTGACGTCCATGAGTACCAAAAAATTCGAATTTTGATTCATCAGACCAAATTACATTTTGCCACTGATTTACTGTCCAATCCATATGATCTTTTGCCCATTTTAAGTGTGAAATCTGGTTTTTTTCAGAAATTAATGGTTTGCATACACCTGCACATCCTCTATAACCTAATTCTTTTAAGTAATGATGAACAAATCTTACTGATGTTTTTTTTTTAATAAGAGTAACAAACTTATTTGTAATTTCTTCAGCTGTAGACTGTCTATTATTTTCAACAATTTTAACAAGTTGTTGAAATTCATTTTTATTTACTTTTTTAGGAGCCCCTGATCTTTTTTGAATGGTAATCCATCCATTTTTTTCCATTTTGTAACAATATCTACAACAGTTGTTTTTTTACTTTTCATATGATCAGCAATCATAGTAAAAGTCCAACCGGCTTCATAAAGATTTATAATATGTTCTCTTGCAAAATCTGTCAAATCACATGATTCTTTTTTAATTTTAGAAGACATTTTATTCACATAAATAAATTTTTTAATTTTTATATTGATAATCGCATAATTTACGTCGTTTATATGTCAATATTACATCTTTGCACAGCTATTAATATATATCGCTTGTATAATTATTTTTGATGCATAAATATATGACTTAATCTGTTTAACGATGCTTTGTATCACATGGTCGGATATTTATGGCAAGGCACTGTACATGCTGTCAACGATACAACAAAATCCATACATACTGATATCTTAAATCTGATTGCTATCCTATTTGACTACCTTCGAGCTCCGGTAGAAAACGCAACTAAGATTAAAGTTTTTAGTTTGCAAGCAATTGGTAATTATCTTGTATTTTATTTAAAAAAGGAATCTAAGTTATTAATTTGTATTTTAGAACATCGCATAGCGTTATATTCACTCAATATGACAAAAAATGGTACTTTTTTGACTTCCGAACTATATTCTACCTTGTTACCGTTTTCATTCGATGCCATATCAAAATACAAGGGAATCCTGTATCTGATGGCAATTTTTCACGTAAGTAAAATTATTGCAAACGTAATTTTCATTAGCCTTTAGTCACTCACAGACTTCTATGGTTTTCAGGAAGAGATCACGGAGCAAATTTCAATTATGAAAAATCTTGACTTAACTATTAATTGTAACGAAGGAAGTACAGTTCGGGATGTTTTAAAAATTCCAAAAGCTTTGAATGATCTTCTACATGAGTACAGAAAGTAATCGTTACAGCCAATACAAAATGAATTCTCGACCTTAATAAGGGTACGACATGATTTATATATGATATAGGAAATTGTATTAGTGAGCGTATTTTGTATAAAAAAAATTATATAGTTTTATTTTAATTTTGCGAAAACAAGATATACCGAAAAATAAAAGTCTACCCCGGCTTTGCGAAAAAATAAAGATTAATTGTATATATTATATAGTTATACTCAATGCCTGCATTTAAGTTTTAAGTTTACTCATATTTGGATATAATCTCTCGACACAATCTATACGTTTACATTTAGAGCAATAGGGACACCATGTATTATCATTTTTTTACGTGAGAAAGGGTAGCATACCATTGATGTAACTGTCTTTTGCAATTGGTATAAGAATCCGTTAAGCATACCCCTCCTCGACTATATGCAATAGCTTTCGCTACCGAAATATCAAATTCTGTACTAGCACAATGCGGACACCAATGGTTTTTATTTTTAGTACCACTGATGGAAGCGAGCCATTCATGTGATTTGGAACATCTCCAGCGTAAATGCGTTGTATAATTGATGTAAAAATCGGATAAACACTCTCCATTTCTTCTACATGCTAATTCTTTCGCATATTCAATATCAAGTTTCACAGACTTACCTACACAATGTGGACATCAAGTCCCTCTTTGAATACTATCGATCCTCACAAGCCATGAATGTCCCTCAAAACATTTCCAAGAGAGTGAAGTACGTCTGCTATGATAAAAACTAGAAAGACATGTTCTATCCCTTTTATTTGCAAGATTCTGTGCAAATTCAAGTCCAAGTTTCATGCACTCACGACACCAACATCCTTTATTTTTAACATCTGAAAGGGATAAGCAAAATTTATGATTATTTTTACATTCTCATAAAAGAGGCGAGCTAATAACATTAGTTAATATTAGCATCTAACCAACTTTTAAGCATATAGTAGAAGCTCTTGTTATGTCTTCAAGAAAACGATTTCTTGTAGAATCAATAGTATTCTTTGCTACAAAGAAGATATGTTCACAAGGAACACTTGTAGTTTGCAAAGCAAAGTAATCTGATACCATAAGAGCTACAGTTGGAAAATGAGAGACATTAATCTTATACCATAATAATGGATTTATTTTTGGTTCGGAAGAGAAAGAAAGGTAAGTAATTAACTCATTTTCTGTTTCATTTACTTTATCATTATCTAGTTATATTATTTTTGAAAAATATCTAATGAATGTTTTGTTGCATGAATCATATTATTTTCTTCTTTCTGATATAATTAATAAGATATTTTTATGTTATTTATAACTAATTGATGTTCTCCTTCATTAAAGGTTTCAAATTTAGTTAATGAATTGAGAAGATCAGGAATCGAAGAAAATTGTAAAAGATCAGTTCAATAGGTTGGTAGTCTGTTTTTTATTCTATTATCTGCTTTATGATGTTTACTAATTGAAGTATAATAATCAAAATGTAATAAGAAATCTCAAATAATTAATCTCAAAGGTTCATAAGTAGGTTGCAAAACATTTGACAAGATTAAAATTGTCTTGTAGAATGACTTAAGAAGTTGTGTTATATTCTAAATTAGGATATATTAGTAATATATTTTTTAAATTACTTTAAATAATATTACTTCAATTATTTCTCAGTTATTAATTTACAAATGTTTTCATTTTTTAAATTTGGATGTGCTTATATAAGATTTTAGTGATATTTCAGATTTCTACAGATCATTTAAGCATCAAATAAATAAAATTTCATTTTGTTTCAATATCAAGCTCAGGATGAAAAATTAATAGTTTAAAATTTTAAGATTCTTTTATTTCTTTCAGAAATAGAGATGAGTTTTTTATCTTGTTACAAAAGTTATATGCCTTTTTAATTTGACTAACATAATTTTTTTGATCTTGTTTAATAGCAAAATTTAATACATATATTGTATAATAAACATATATATCACTGGAACTTATAGATTTTTAAAGATAATACAGTATAAACAGGTTTAATTATTTGTTGTATTGTTATTAGTAAAACAAATATGTTTTTAAATATAATATTTTCTAAAATGTTATTATTTGTTAATATGTGATAGTTGTTTAATATTTATTTGAATAGAAAGTTTGTTCATATTATTATAATCTAAAAGAGATAAACTGATTATAGTTTTTAAGATTTTGATATATAAAATAAGAATTTTTAACTTTACATAATTAATAAAAAGTCTTGATATTCTTTTAGCTCAAGAAAGATAACAAGATTATTCGATTTATTGAATAAAATCTGACTTTGCTTAAGTTGTTACAATATTTAAAAAGAAGTATAATCTGAAATTAGGGTTCTGAACTGAGTATTGAAATAGTACCTACTTGGTACCAACTTATAATAAAGTTAATATATAGATTGTAACCCACTATATTAAACTCATAATAAATTCAATACTGATTTGATACCAAAATGGTACCATTAGAAACCTTATCTGAAATATAACTGATATAATAGTAATAGTGAATATTGACTTTTTGAAACTTTACTATAAATTAAAAGGCTTATTTTTTATTTTTCTTCTAAAGAAATATTCTTTGCTTGAAAATCTTCTAATAAAATTATATATAATATTTAAATAAAACACAAAATATCAATTATATTATTTTTAATATATACTTAATATTGTTTCTTCTGATTGTTTTTTTAAATAATTATATAAATTATAGAATTTTTTTATTTTTAAGACTTTTCTAAAAAGAAAATTAGATATAAGTAAAAAAGGTTATAATATATTTATAATATATTTATTATTAAAAAAAAACTTTCACCCATTCACTGCTGATTTTTTGAAAATTTCCTTTTTAAGAAATTTTCTTCCAATAAGCATTTTTCTCTCCTTATTATTTAAGGCAAATAAGCTTTAAATCCAAAGGACATAAAGACTTTAAGGAACATTGTTGCATTGAAATAGGACCTTTGGTCAAGATCTAAACAAGTTGGAAGTCTTTCTTAGTTCTTGGTTACATGGGAAAAGGCCTGTGACAACCTTCCTTCATAATTTTTTGTCTTTAGGTACCTCTCCTTTATATAACCAAGATAATTACTTTTTCCTTTACCTTTCTTTTCTTTATAACACAAATTCAATCCTAACAACACATTCAAACAAAGCCACTGGGTCTAATGTTTGTCTTAACACAACCTTTGCAAATTTATTATTTTTCTTTTTATTTCAAAATCAATTCTATGCCTTATTTTTTTCATTTTTCAATATTCTTTTCAAATTTACACAAAAACCACAATCAGTCTTACTTCATCAAAAGATCTACACACAACAAACAATCAATAAAAGTTCTTTACTCCTTAACAACAAAATCAAACCTGTTCAAACCTGTCTATAACCAGTTTTTTAACAAAAAATTCTTACACTCAATAATAACAACAATAAAGAAATGATCTGATAACTTATCAAATTGGGAGAGCGTATGACCTGTGCCCTGTATGGATTCTGATAATCTTTACTTTACATGCACCCAAATAACAAAACAAGCAATTGGAGCAGGCTCCAGTTACCTGACTCACTTATACTTCAATCACAACACTCTTTTACCAATCAAATAACTATTTATTATCTCAACAATGGAGTTGTGATCTACAAGCAGCAATGCTGAAAAAAGGCAGCCAAAGCCTAACCAATGTGAGTAAAAGTAATACTTTTACTGCAAGTGGAAGTAAAATACCAGGAAGTTGTGCCTAAAGATGGGTCCCTAAATTAAAGGCGAAGACATAATTCAAATGTCCCTTACTATTAAAAAAGTTTTTTTTTAAATATAAGATTAAAAAAAAACTACTTACAAAGGTTTTTTGCAATTTAGGACATTTGATCCAAGTGTTTTTTGAATTATGTCCCTATTAAAATAATGAATAAATAATTATGTCCCTTCAAAAAGAACATAATTAATCTGCAAAATTTTATATGCTAAATAGTTTAGGGACCTATCCTTAGTTGTGCTCTGTAATCTGACAGCTTAAGCCAGTGCTCCTCTACTACTGCTAGAGTCATGCCTAGCTATCAAAAAGAAAGTGGTAACTTAGATAGAACATTTGGTTTGTGCCCTGCAAGAGAAATTGTTGGTTCAAAGATAATACACTCATAAATGCTAAACACATTACCACTATAATATTCTACTCTCCATAAAACATTGATTATATGTCTTATTTATATTTAAGTAGTATATAGTCCATTTTATACACTATCAATATTTTTTTTCTCTTAAATCAAAC